TTAGTGACATAATTCATTAAAAAAATTAAAATTTTGGCGCCAAAAAGTACCTGTGGGACGAGGATAAACTTCTGGGTCCATGGGTTTTCCTCCATGAGAGAGATAGTAACTGAGGAAAAGCGCGTGAGGTGTAATCGCCTCTGGTTCTTTAGGCTCCAACACAATACTATGAGCTTTCAGACCGTACACTCTGAACATCGTCGACAACATCTCGAACTTTCCAGACCACGGCCCCAACGCTAAAACGACGCCGTCCGACTCTATCACTCGCCCGCCTCCAACACCACCGAGTCAACTCGGCCTTCCTCACTCACGTCAACTCGCTCCAGTTTCCCAATCACCACCTCAACGCCGTAACTCTCCACCGCCTTCGAAATCAGAGTTCTCGTGAACAGCTGGGGATGGACTTGGGCCGTCGTTTCTACTGTCCCGATGGGCCTCGGGCTCCGAGCTGGGCCATCGACCCACGACGGCAGATTGGAGCTACCGGAGGGTCGGGAACCGGAGGGAGGGTTATTGGACTCGGTGACGGTGAGGCTGAGAGTAGTGAGGGGTCTGTAGCCGTACGATCGCGCGCCGTCGAGATCTTCCGCCAGCGAACGGTGGAGATTGAAGCTGGCGCGGGCGAGGGAGGAGAGGGGCCTACCATCGCACCAGTCGAGGGCGAGGAATCCGCCGGCTTTTCCGGACGCGGCGCAGGCGACGGAAGATTTCTCGACGAGCGTGACGGCGGCGCCCTTCTTGGAGAGGAAGTAGGCCGCGCAGACGCCGATTACTCCGCCGCCGCAGACGACGACCCGTTTCGGAGGATGACGCTCGTCCATCGGATTTGGCGACGACGGTGATGAGGACAATCGGATTGATCTGACGGTGGAGATCTTGCGGGTTTGGGTTTGGATTCGTCCGAGAATTGGAGGTAGTATCTATTTCTCGCTTGTTGACTGTTGAGAACTTCGTGGGAGTTGACGCGTGGATGTCGTTACCTCGTGTCTCGTGTCGCGTTTTTTGGGAGGAAAGAAAATTCGTATGGGCCGATTTAGATTCAGGGTTCGTGAGTTGGGCTTATATGGCCTTGTTATTATGGGCTGGCGCGGAGAATTAATTAGGGCCATTTTGATTAAGCCGAGCATGATGATTTGTGCATGTGCTACTCCATACTACTTTAATTTTAATCTCAAGATAATACCTGGAAAGAA